AATGCCACAGAGAAGAAATGTTCACAATTTCCAAAAAGAAAAATCATAAAACTGTTGAAGTAGCTTGATTTGAAGTAAATATATAACACGCTGCTCAATCAAAAGATGATTATAGTCATTGAACTATTATAGAGAACCAACCATCAGGTCTTCCTCGGCGATCATGCCGACTACGGCGAGTGCTGGTGCAACCACTGCCACCACCACCCCCTTTAGCATAAAGCCTGAACCTGTCTATCATTCTCCTTTCCTACAAAGAAAGAAAGACAAAATCCCAAATATCCGAAGATATGTTGCTTTAGAAAAAGACCATCAAATGAAGAAAACTGGGAAGAATAAGGCCTGATGAGAAAGAGGCAGGAATGTAGCAACCTGTAGAGGGGCAAGCTTTGACTTCTTGTGAGGAGCATCACAGTAGGAAGAACACACAAAAAACCATGGAGACTTGGAAGGCTGCCTCAAGGCCTCTATGTGCAAAAACGATTTTGTAAGGTGCGCCCGCATCTGTCTCCTTTTTCTTACCCCTCGATCACTTCTTATGCCTTCAATGTAAATCAGCTATCACCTTGCTATCATGTGATGCTAGAGACGCAGAAAACAAAAACGGAATATGATATAACTGTGAGAAAGATGTTTTCTTTCTGAAATTTTTAGTCCATTGCATAAATTAAGACGGCCTTTCAAACGGACAAATGAACAGCAACACATCTATACAAGAAATTTTGTGCTATTTAATGCATAACTGCCACTAAACTCACCACAATCACCACCAACCTTCAAATTTATCATGGGTTTAATCTAAGAAATTAACCAGAGATCACCCTTTATGTAAATTACCTTACACACTATATTATCTATGCGAATCACAAATCCCTTTTACTTAAAACTACCAGCAGCAAGAAACTGTATATTACCAGAGGAAACAAAATGGCAGGAAACAGTATAGAACGAAGTCCCAGAAATTATCAGTAATGAATAGCGATAAACAAACTATATGTTGCAATCAAAGTAACAAGGATAGCATCTGAATTAGAACACTGTTTATGATTGAACCCACAAATCTTAAACCCCATGAACACTAGGGGTTAAGAAAAATATTCGAAATACCAAAAGAAACCGAAGCTAGTCAGCGTTGGGGAAAAACAGAACCCACAAAAATGTCCTCATTGAATATAGCAATAATCAAGGAGAATCAGAGAGAATACCCACCTTGTTAGGCGTCGCTGTTGGATTAGAGGATGAAGGAGGTTGAAGCTTGCAACTTGCGACTTGCGGGGAAGAGAGCCCGCAACGAGAACGAGGGAAAGCAAGCGCTTGCAGGCTGCACAAGACGAACAGTGGGTGGGCTGGTGGGCTGATGGGCTGATGGGCTGATGGGCTGATGGGCTGGGAATGATTGGTGGGCTCTAAGATCAGATTAAAGCTTTAGAGCCACAGTATTTGGAAAATTACAAATCCATATACAAAGATAATCGAGCTGATTACCAAGATTAGTTAACTCATCTGCTACCATATTTGCTAAGAAAAACTTTTGCATATACCATAATAAATTAGAAAAACTTTTGCATACCATAATAAATTAAAATAAATTAGAAAAACTTTTGCATATACCATAATAAATTAAAATAAATTAGAAAAACTTTTGCATATACCATAATAAATTTAGAACAAGCAATGTCCCGTCCCAAGTTTCGGAGAGTGACAAATTTTTACACTAAAAACCTTTTGCATTCACTAAATTTGAATGCACAGATGACATTCAAGTACAATGACATCAAAGGCACCTACATATGAGATATTAATAAACTACATACAAAAATTTCTATGTACGAGGCTTAAGCTAGCAGCTTGTGATCTGGCCTAAACAATATCAAATACAAAGAGCTTCATCTAATAGTTCATCAAATATCAAATCCTCAAGTTCAAGTGCCACACACTCAGTGTCCCATTGCAGGTTCATCCAGCGATCACCCTTTGCCAAATCTCGAGCCACAACATCATCCAACGACTGGTCCATCTCCGGCCTCAAGCTCAGGTATGAGCTAACTCTTGTCCATACATCATCAAGAAGATGGTGCCCTTTGGGCATTGGACGGATGCATCCACTCAAGGACAAGGCTCTTGGGAAGTAGGTGTATGATCTTTCATAAACCTCAAGCAGTGTCTCATTAACTAAATCAAACAGAAGCTGGTGATCAAGTTCATGCTGAAAGCAAGCCTCCAGTTCCTTGAATAATGCGGGATCTAAAGGCTGGTCCTGTGAGTGCCATGTCCCAAGGTCCTCATGACCTATGAAGCCTGACAGCTCAAGAACATATTTCACATAATTGAATTCAGAATCGGGATCATCCACTTTATTGAATACAAATCTCGCGGAGTGATTGTCCACACTCTTGTGTTCAATTTCAGTGTTTACAATGTTGCGGGAGGCTGCTAAACAATCTGACTCGTTCACATGGGAGCTCCTAGGATTTATCTCTGAACCTGATACAATTTTGGCAAACCAATTAGATCAAATCATACATAGCACGAAAACGATGCATTAGCACTTGATCATTGATAGAGATAGTTTTTTAACATAATGAAACATAGAATACTCAGAACTCTGAGGTTGAAAACTGTGCAGAAAGTTGCTTACCTTCTGAGGTTGAAAACTCTGCATGGCTAGTTGTATAGTCTGAAAGATTAGGTTCAAGAATAGAACTTTCAATTGATTGTGCTAGCTCACTTTCTGGATTCATTCTTAAACCAATCTCTTGTTTCTGGTGAGTTCTGATTTCTCCTATTGCTGGCTCAACTAAATGCTCATCAAGATCCTCTGAGTCAACAATATTACCACTGCTTTCACTTCGTTCTACCATGTTATTCTGAAACTCTGTCTCTGTAATAGCATCTAGTTGTTCAGACTTATCCGCTGTATCTACAGGAAAGCTCACTAACTTGGGATCAACATGACCATCACTTTCCTTATTCGTATTGTGGTCCACAGCATTTTTAACTGGCATCCCTAAACGAAAAGCATCTTTCGGTGCCCCATTTAAGGTGGAACAAAAATAGTCAAGATCAGGCAATGAGAGATTCCTTCTAGTGAATTTCTGAGCATTCCCAGTTGAAGGAACTTTTTGTTCACTTTTCAACTTTAAGCTCCTAGAGCGATCCCACTTGCTTTGATCACTGCTGTAGCTAGACTCAAACAACTGAGTATATCTATTCAGTGACTCATCTAAAGAGGAGGTTCTTCTTGCACGGCGAATTCTTGGCTTCCCAAGATTATCATCAAAACCATCCATCTTGTTTCTCTGTTGTCCCATGGCTATATCCGGAGTTTCAGACAATTCTTTCTCATCACATCCAGAAGGGTCTTTCCGGAAGAGTGCCTTAATGGAAGGGTCAGCATTTTCCTTCTTGCCCTCCTGAATTGCATGCATTAGCTTCTGCGTTATATCTTTGAAACGATTTATGACCAACTGATTCCACCCTTGGTGACTAAATCCCTCAGGCAAACCCGGAGAAGAAAAGCTTGTTTCTTGTTTCATGACACTGCTGCCTACACTGATATCACCAACCACGTAAGGCATGGACTTCATAGAATAATCCTCTTGAGATTCGGATGTCACTAACTTTGGAGTCTGAGTACCAGAAAGCAGTATTTCTCCTTTGGGGAAGGACCAAACTTCATTCTGCTTGTGTTTGAGTGTGCTCTTAGGCCTAATATTTCTAGCTTGAGACGAATCAGCTACAGGAAATGACCTTGATTTTGTTAGTCTGACTTTGTTCTTGGAATTTTGCAGGCCAGGAAACTGGTTTGTATTAACATCTGGATCTTGTAGGATTTTTAAGAAAAATTCCTTGTTTGCCTTAAATATCTCCAGAATATCAGCATGGTCATTAAACTGGTCACTGGAAATGCCTTTGTGTGCCTGGTTAGTCTTTGTTGGCTTCTGGTTCGGTGCCAATTCCATGACTTTTTCACTTTCTTCTGTAGAAAGTGCCTGTTTCTTGCTGGGACTAGTGCTGCCTCTCTTTCCTGTTTTATCCAAACAATTTTCTGAAGGCTGTACATCATGCACTTCACTCGTACGCCACAACCATGATTGCACATGGAAGCTTAAAATCCAGCTTTTGGTGCTTTCTTCACGAGGTTTCTCTTTAGCACGTGATGCTTTTGTGCGAGATTTACCAGACCTTTTCTTTGCTGAGCTAATTTCTGTACTGGGACGTTTGACCTAATACAAAACATTAAGGTACTGTCAGCTTATGTTTCATAACAAGTCAAAGAAGCACTTCTGTGTTCTGTCTTGAGGTTATTGATAACCACAAATACATGATGTCAAATCACAACTTGCATTTTTGAATTCTGTATCTAATCAAAAGAATGACATGAACTTACCAGCAAAGGTTCAGCATCAGCAGCTGCAAATTCTTCGCTTTGACCAATGTCACGACTGTTCAAAGTTGCTTTCCTACTTCCATAGTTGCCTGCGAGCAAGAAATGTATTGTGCTAAGCTCATATAAATCAAATACTGATATGTGAATGTAAACAACCGTCTGTGCATTAAGAGAATGATTTGCTAAGTGAAAAGTCTTTGCACCTACTGTTCCATTTGCTACTCTTAATTCAAAATGATGGTTGTAACGATGCCTCTTCTTCGTTCCTTACGAAAAAGTTGAATTATGAAATGGTAAATAATTCGTATCTAAATAGACATATAGGTAGAAGCAGTTCTTCCGTTGGAAAAATATATATTGGTTTCAATAGTTCCTTCTGTTTTGGCCTATAGGCCTAAAATAGTTACTTCCTAGATGGGGCATCTGATAAGCCGCTTTAGAAGCAAAATAATCTGCATAAGTAAGAGAACAAAAATCTAGCAATAGCATTGCAGAATTCGCATGGCTTCATCCCAAATCAAACATGCACAGGACCACAAATCAAGCGCTTCACACTTTCATAAACTTAGAAGCTTTGCATGAGATATCATTACAGAAGATTTTTCACTATGAGTTTTCTGTATCAAGTTATTAAAAACAGGATCACACATGAACAGCGGAAAGGATGTGCTGGGGTGAATTGAGTTGGCTTACATCTGACTCGTCTCCCTCCGGCGCGCTTTCTGTGTGGAAGCATATTTTTGACATTGTTCCAATGATGGTAATCAAGCATATGCATTAGGCTCCACATGCAGCCTGGACGGTTGCTCTCAACACCAGAGTCCTGGCGCTGCAATTGCTTTCCCATTTTTGGTACAGGAGAAAGTCTACAGACCAAAGAAATTTGAGAGCCACTTGAGTCTTAGTCTCTCAACTTCTAAGACACGTCTCTTGAAAATCCTGGAAAAAAATAGAAGACAGAAGTTAGAACCTCCATGTACTTCAACCTCCAAAGTTGAGTATTTTAACCAGTACTTCAACCTCCTAGCATATAAATTCAGATTAAATTTCCCCAAAAGCCTGTCAGAAAAACATATCAAACAGATTCTAAACAAGATGGAACACAGGCTTTTAAACAGTGATTATGATATTTTTCAGAGCCTCTAATTCAAAATTCAAAGGCTGGAGCGAATACCCAATTTCATTTTCATAAAACCAACTCAAAAAGCTTGCAACTTTACCAAAGTTCATAACATCTATACACGTTTGAGGTCCAAAAGCTCGAACCCAAAACATTGAAAAAAAGAGAAACAGGGATGAAAGAACTTCCGTTATAAACTTAAGAATCAAGCAGAGACAAACACAAAGAGAATATTTAAGTGACAAAACCAAAGGGAATATTTAATGGCTGCACAAACAACGCTAGCAATTAATACATGAATTAAGCAACCAAAAGGTAACAGAAAAACAAACAGAGCTCTGAACCTTGAAAAGCTTCGGAAGCATGCAACAACAGTTTGCGAAACTATGGCAGGCTTTGAATAAGGTAAGGGACAGCTGAGAGCTCAAAAACTTCGGAGCTTAAAATGATATATTGGTAAGTGGCGTATGCGATAGGAGAAACGAAAAGTAATAGTTGGTCTTCCAGTCCAGTTAGAGAGAGAGGACCCGGGAAAGAGAAACAGGGACCTCTTACCCGCCAAGAATTTTACAATGAAATGGTCCAAGCTCTCTCTTTCAAGCCTTGGTCCAAGCTAGCTATGTAGATTAGATCAACGTTAAAGCATGAGGATTTAAAAGGGTTTAGCTAAAGTTGATTAGATAGTTTTGGTGGTTAGATTAGATTATTTGATTTAGTTTTATGGTTGATGTTAGTTGAAATGTTTTTGGTACAATGTTAGTTGAAATGTTGTTC